CCGTGCCCCTGTGCCAGGCTCTGCTGCAGCAGCTGAGTCATCACAGCCCTGGGCAGGTTCGAAAACTGTCCTCACTTTGGCTCTCAGGAGAGGCCGGTGGGAGGGACAGGGCCAGCGGCCACCAGGCCGTGGCCCTCAGAAGCAGAGCCGTGGCCAGGCTGGGCTGTGGCCCTGACAGCTGGTAGCCTCTGCCTGCCTTAGCTGAGCCTGTGAGAACCATAACTACAGTGGCCACCCAGAGCTGGGCACCGGCGGGGCAGCTGCGGGCCATGCAGCCAACGCCGGTGACTGACAGCCGCCTCCCTGTCACCTCCTCCGAGCGGCGCCTGACGGCCAGGCCGGCTGCAGCGGGTGGGGCACACGCTTGCCTCGGTCGCAGCCCTGCGCACGAGTCCCTCGCCTGCCCGGTGCTCACAGCCCCGCTACCTCCTTCCGCTGCCCGGCCAGGGTGCCCACAGCCCTTCACGCTGGGGGTGGAGCCGGTGCCTGAGGCCGGCTCCTGCTTGCCTGCATTGCCTACTTGGCACGGGGCGACGGCTGGGTCCCCCTCAGCCCCCGGGGCAGGCAGGGCTTTCGTTATCCGTAGCTGACGGATGAGGAAACGGGCTCGGAGGAGCAGCCTTCCACCAGCACAGCGAACCACCGGTCGCTGCCGAGGAGCAGCGCAGGGCCGCGGCCCTCGGTGATCGGAAAACCTGCTCTGAACGTAGCCCAGGCTGGCCTCGAACTGTGCGCCCCTCCTGCCTCAGTGCTGGGGTCAGCTGTGCACCATGCCCGGCCCTAACCAGAAAATCCGGGCTCAAGCGCTCCTAAGTCTGAAACGCTTTGAGTTCGGCTCTGAAGCACGGGTGTAAAATTCCGCGCTAGAAAACGCCGCTCCGTGCACGAAAAGATTGCACACGCCGCCAGCTTCGGGCCGCGCACGGGCCGCGGTCAAGCGGGGTGATTTGGTGCTGAGACCCGGCCCCCGGGTGGGGTGGCTCGCTGGGGACTCACAGAAGTCCCGGGGCTGGCGGGTCGGGTCTGCGGTCGGGAGCCCCCGCTCCGCCCTTCCTGAGAGTCACCCCGTGGCCGCGTGCCACATGCTTTCTGTCCTGGTGCCCCGGAACTTCCTAGGGGAGCATCACTAGGCCCTTCTGTGGGGTGCGACTTACAGACGGAACCCAGCCGCGGACGGCGAAGCCATCTGCACCGTCACGCGCGCTCAGCACAGGGACCTCGCTGGGTGGGGTCCGGAGCGTGTGCTTTCAAGAAGGACCTGCCCAGTGGACCTGGGGCCCAGCGCCCCGAACTGGAGTCAGGCTCCTCATCTGCCACCCCCGCCCCGAGGTCCACGTGGCCCGGCCACCATGGAGTCCCCGGCACACAGCGAACGCTCAGGCGCCGGCCTCTGTTGCCTCCCTGTTCACAGCAGGGTGAAACTGCCCTCTCCCAACAAAGCCGGGCGTGGTGGCGCCCGCCAGCCATCCCAGCCCTCAGGAGGCTGAGGCAGGAGGGTTGCTGCGACATCACTCTCCCAACAGAGCCGTAGGCGTGAGAAGAGGTGCAGAGGGCATTCTGTAAATCATGTGGTTCCAGGCAAATCTGGTAAGAAAAGAAGAGGGGTGCGTTCTGCCCCCTCCCCCAGCCTTGGGATGACCCTGGCACAGCCCTCATTCCCCAGGAGGACTGGGGCACTTCGAGGCCAGTGTTAAGTAAGGCTCTCTTCTTTTTAACAAGCATCGACATGGTGCTCAGTCAACGCCACGCACTATTCTGAGTGCTTCACAAATTATTCATGTGTGTAATGCCTAGGAATCCCCTGGAGGTGGGGATCCCTGCTGCCCCTGTGTTACAGACAGGCAAACTGAGGCCCAGGTGAAAGAATGTGACGCACTTGTGAATGGCAGGGTGGAAACCCCATAAAGCACACAGGCCCGGCCTGACGTGTGCTCACGGCTGCTGCGACTGCCGCCATCCTGATCATGATGGTTACTGTTTTTCTGAGACAGGCTCTTGCCATGTGGCCCGGGCTGGCCCTGAACTCACATGGATCCTCCTGCCTCAGCCTCCCAAGTGCTGGGATTCCAGGTGTGCGCCGCCATGCTGGAAGTGCTGTCACGGTTCGTGGGGCAAGGACAAGGGACGCACTCTCCCAGGTCACTGCGCCTCACCCAGCACCGCCAGGCTCCTCTCTCTGCCTCGCCGGCTGTGCTCTCGGCACTGGCAGTGCGGGGTGGGCTCTGCAGTGCTTATTAAGTGACTCTCATATGGCATCAGCGACAGGAACCCCGTTTGCCACCCAGCAGTCTGGTCCCCCGTGAACCCCAAGGCGGAGGAGGACGCTCATCCGGGCTGAGGGAAGGGTTGTGTCCTTGTCCCCACCGCCGCCGCTGCTAACTGGGAAGGCTTGCCCACACGACGGCTTCCTGGAGCAGAGGAGCGGAGGCTCTGACTGCCACAGCCATGGCGAACAATAATTAGATCAATAATAATAACAGTAAATAGCAATTCCGCCTCC